GTTTCATCGCTTGTCTCATTTTCAGTCCTTTTTCCCTTTATCAACTCTCTCTTTGAGCCTACGGGACGTGAGAATGAGGCTGCTAAGGATGTTTGCAGAGCATCCATAACTAATCAGTTACAGGCTCCATATCAGGCGACACGTGTAAACCAGTGTATTTGTGAGGGAGGTTATTAATAGTAATACGATGTTGGATTTGCTTGTTTAGAGCTGTGAAATTGTTTTATTTGTAACACAGTGAAATGAAACCATGAGTGGGCATTAGAGCTGGTAAATCATCTGTATTTACACACTGTTAGCATCAGAGAGAGAGACATCATTCATTTAAATAAATAAGAGAATTAGACAATCACATGAGGTATCCTTCATGATGTTTTTCACCAAACAATCTAAAAGATGGACAGATCAATTCACAACTGAGTAAGGAGACCTTCATTGAGCTTATTAATTTGTCCAGTAGAGCTCCATTAAAAACCCAAGTGTACTTAATGATTCATTTTATCATTTTCACTATTCACCCGTGGCCAGTCCCCTCGCTTTTACTTTGGAAATTCAGTCATTATAATCCCAGTTACACGTCCCACGTTTTCAGGATTTCAAGATTTCAGATTGCAGTCAACTGAGGTGTTTTCTTAGCCCTTCTAAATTAAGTGCATAATCTTAGCTACTGTGGCTGCGATAGGACAAACATGTTTCAGACAGACGAGAGATGATGGCTGTGGCCGGCTGACCTGTTTGTACTACTGTTTGAAATGGATCTGACTGTTAGGCTTTTCCCTGTTTGTTGAAGGCTGTCACTCCATTGTTTTCCTCAGTTGTGAAGAGGCTGTAAAACTTTTTGAACGCAGAGTTAGAGAACCTGTTGAGGATTTGGTGAACTGTTGGTAGCACTGCCATTTCTGTTGATGTTAGCTGCTGTTAGTCCAGGTTAGTGAAACTGTTGTTGAAGTGGCTGTACCTTTTGTTGAACTCTGACACTTGAGAATAAACTCTCATACGATGTAATTACATAGTAATGTGTGTATATCTATCGCTTTTTTTACTTTTTTTTTTTTTTTTTAATATTATAAAATGCCAAACAATCACTGAGAGACAATTACCTTTATGTTTATTGGTTAACGTGTGAATAAGGACTGTTTATTCATTTTTTTACTATTAAACAAGCTTTTAATAGATTTCAGAAATATTTGTTTTATTGTTTTAAATCTGCGGTCCCTAACCCCCGGGCCACGGACCGGTATCGGGCCGCGATAGTTGAGGCTCGGGAGTGAAATTTATGTTTTTCAGGGGTTTTATTGTTAACTCGGTTTCCCTGGGTCTTTTCCCGTGTTGTAGTTGTGCGTCTTATTTTGAACAAAATATTTACACGTTACCATAGCGACCAGAGAGCATTAAGGGTCAGAGAGGAGGATGTTACTTTCAATGTTTTTGGCGCATTTCAGCAGGATAGTGCTAATAAAGTTACACAATTACACAGTGAATTCACTTTTATTATTATATTTCCAAAATACCACAGTTTTTGTCTTGGTCGTATCATTTTATTTTGTTGCATTTATCCGCAACACCTTAAAGGCCAATCCGTGAACATATTGTCTGACATTAAACCGGTCCATGGCGCAAAAAATGTTGGGGACCGCTGTTTGTGACATGTGGTTTATATATAGTGTGGGTACCCTTATACCACCACAAAAACTTTTTTTAAACAGATACTCTGACATATAAGTTTCAAACGACCTGTGTGAGTGAATAACGGAAAAAAAGGTTCCATATTTCTTCGTGCTGCCTTGTTTCCTCAGTGTTTTACTTCTCTCCTTCCTAGTGTCTTCTTTCTTCTGTCACTTTCTCTCTGGTGTATTTCCTTTGCTGATTCCTCCTTTTTTGTGCTTACTGCCTTTTGTCTTTTTGTTTCCTTCTTTCCTTTCTGACTTCCTCCCTTGAGTGGCCAACAGATCTACAACAAGAACATGATCGTGGACACCTTCCTGGGTCAGGTGATCTTGTTCAGCGACCCCAACGAGCGCCAGGAGCAGCACACGCTTCACCTGCGCGACAAAGGCAGCCGCCAGGACAACGACCTCCCGGGCACGCTCACTGTGCGCCTCATCACGTCCACCACGCTCACCAACATCTGAAGCGGCAGTTTATACGATTGCAATGATCGAAGCTCAAGGTGGCGTACGAACCGTGCCCGCCGTTCACCTTCGCCGTTCATCTTTTAACCGTCGCGGGAGCTCACTGTGTCTTTTTTTTCCTGCCGCTTGCGCTCTCTGTGTGTCTCTGTTTTCCTTTGCTTCCTTTAGCTTCACAGGGTTTTATTTTTGAAGGCCTGCATCTGTATATCCTGATGGAAGCTGTACAGGGGGTTGTACAGACTATTTTTAAATACATTCCTGTCAAAATTGTTTATCAGTCACAAATTTGTTCTTAAAGTAGCAGAAATCTCTATCAGAGCAACAGTTTAAGAAACTGATGAAGTTTTATCAGATTTTTTTGCTGTTCTGACCCTTAATTACAGACTTGTTTTTATTTCTTCTTATACTCACACACACACACACACATATACATGAATATAATACATATGCAGACATCTCTGCACTCTCCATGCATGTGCCACTGTTTCCAAGGGCTATGCATTGCCTTAAGGCTGAGTTTGTCTCACCTCTTTGAGGAGACGAGGGGAGGTGGGTTATGTTGAATACTATTTATCTTAGCACAGCCTTGGTTTAGTTTTTTCTTTGTCTCTAAAAGTTTGCATTAAGCCCTGCTTTTTGCCATCGTGTTATCAGCTTCTGTCTCCCAAATGCTCTTTTATGACTGTGAATAATCCTCCCGCCCAGCCAGCCAGCCCAACCACCCAGACACCTCAAGTCTTCAGCAGTTTGCCGGTGCTTTGGAGAGCATGCAGCAGTCTGTCACTTTTTACGTTGGACTTCAAAGCCAACAGCAGCTCTTCTCTCCCCTCGACTCAGTGCTTTTTCTGTGTTGTTCTGTGAGCGCACCCGCGTGTGTGAAGTCTTGCCTCCCGGTTTCCATCACTAGCATCATTCGAGAATGCTTTCCGTCACCGGCTGCTATGGACGATCTCTAAACTGCATGGCTTTTAAAAAGAAAACGAAAAAACCCCGAAACTCTCTGCCTGTGCTGCACATCTCTCTAGTCGTAGCTTAGCAGCCGGTGCTTCCGATAGTGCTACCCCCTTCCTCCTCCCCATGCAAACATCTTTCCTGTCCAGTGGAGTGCAAAGATTCACCCTGACATAAATCAAGTGCTTTATGGGACCAAAGAGGAGCCAGGCCCCCTTTTCAAACCGGCCTAGCCTGGCCCGGCCCGGCCCAAGCCTAGCGACAAACCGCCACCCCCTGTGCCACATCATCTCTTAACGGCAACACCACTGCCTGACGCTTCCTCTGACTTGAGTCTGTCGGCCCGGGCCAAAGACTCACGCCACGTGATCCCGAAAGACAGCAGCTCTGCAAGCGTGAGTGTGTGAGACTGTGTGTGTGTGTGTGTGTGTGTGTGTTTGAGTGAATGTCATGTTATACCTGAAAGAAAAAGATCACAAAGGAAAGGTGTGAACCGAATAGTAAAAGGGACCTTTTTTGAAGGGAAAAAACACACCTTGCACTTTATTTCTTTAGCTTTGAGGGGTAAAAAGAAAAACCCTCGGAGACTACGGAGAGAGAGAGGAGTGCTTTAGCAGAGGAGACGTCCTGCCAAACAACCTGTGCCATCGCCTTGTTCCTGGCTTTGCCTCCACAGCAGGAAAACAACTCGGACGAACTGTTGAATTCAGATGGTTTTGAATATTGAACCAACACTGGTACAGTTTAATCTTTTCTCTGATGACATTTCTCGCGTAGATCATGTGGCCATCCGATCCGACCTTTTACCATCCAGTCGGCTTCTTGTGACAGAAAATAACAACCTGTGTTTTTTGTTTCTCTTCAAAAGTGCAATCCAAGTTTTATAAACTTTTGGTTATTACGTTTTTCCCCTTAAAATTTGAAAAATGTAACTTATGGTTATTTTTAAGACCTTTCCTTTGAATGTAAACCATTAGTGGACTAATCTCTCAGACAAAATATCAAGCCCCACCCCCTTTTTTTTCAGTGCCCTTTTCCATGACTTGAACTGTCACTCATGGCATTTAAGTGGTCACACATGTTTGTGTACAGCATCTTTATAAATGTGTCTTGCATGGGTTATTTTTCCAAGATATCCACAGCCTTGTATTGTACTGTTCAATTGTTACTCTATATATTTATTCTTTCTATCTCAGAAGTCTTGGAAATGCTAGTTTTGAGCAGTGAGCATGTCTACACTTAAATGCACCTCATGTCAGTCTGATCATGTCAGTCTGTTTGAAGCAGTTGTGTCTTGTACTACAGTGATGCATTCATAATGCCTCTAGCATCTGTGAACATTAGCAGCAGTTGTCAACAACTATTTAGGTGCTATTTATCTTCTTCTTTGTGGTCTTTTTGTTGGTTTCACTCAGAGAGAAAGTGAACGTCATGTAACATGAGACTGAATCTGAAGCGTGTTAACAGTGCAAACAGCCAGTGTTGGAGACTGTAAGTGCAGAGCAGTGTGAGATTAGACAGCCTGCCGGTTTTTATTTGCAGAGTATTTCCTCTTTATTCTGCCAATCAGTTCCATGCACTTCTCTGAAAACAGGCAAGCTCTGCAACATAAAATTGATCCTGAAGTTGGAACCTGTGACTATGGGAAGAGCAGAGGTTACTCCAGCTTTCACCACTTTATGTTTGGCTCCTGAACTTGTTTAAATTAAGGCAGGCTCTCCAGTGGTATCGATGCAGAGTTCCCTCCTAACCAACACCTACTGTGAAAAAGAGGTGTTTGGGTAAACAAAGAAGGCTTTCCCCCTCCCTCACACAGAGTGGCCTACCGCAAGGCAGTGAAGTCCCAGCTGTGGTTAATTTAGTTTGGTTAAAATGAGTTTC